TCCCAGACTCATGGCCCCAGAATTCCAGGAGTTAGCATCTCTTGTTTTCCTAGTATTCCCTTTCCAGAGATGAGACTCAACACCTGCTTTCTGCATCATCAGAGAGGGCAGATGGTCCTAGCTCGGGGTGTGGATCAGGCTCTGCTCCTAGAAGCAAATAACAGCCCTGCAGGATACGTGCCCAAGTCACATGTTTGTTCTTCTTCCAATTGCTTTGTGAGAGGCTTCCCCAGAGCAATGCCAGGCCAAGGCCATGGAGGTGCTGGCCCCTGGTTAAGGCAGCAGGAAACAGAGACACACCAGGGACTAAGAGCTGAAGCAGCCTATTGGCATCTCTCAGCATCACTGCAAAACATTTTCTGTGATTTTTGTGTTAAGCTGCCACGCAGGAAGACTTGCTGCAGCTCCTGGCACTGGATCTGACACTGGCCCTGGGCTTGATCTTGCTCTCTCTGAGCTAGGTGGTGTGTCCCATGAGCTTCTCCACAAGTCTGGGCTCTGAGCTGGACATGGACCTGTGGAAAGACTGCAGGACTCCAGGCTGAGCAGGGAGTCATGCAGGGCAAGCTGCTCCACACAGTGTTGATGAAGCTCTGACTGTGTTCGACAACCACCAGGAGAGGAATTTGGTTGGATCCCCTGAGATGCAAGCACTTAGTTGACTACAAAAAAACCTCATTGAGCAGTTGCCCTTCTGCCTGGCAGGCTGCTTGGAAAGCATGGGAGTTTGGCACAGAAGAATTTATAGCTTGTGACTTCTGAACTATTGATGTAACCAATGAAGGTATCTCAATATTGGTTGTTCATAGCGACTGGACATGGTGGTAAGCAAAGCCTTTCTGGAGGATGCTCCAGTGCCTTTCCTGGTAGAAACCACAGCTTCCAGAGAAGAAGAGCCTGCAGTACTCACCAGCCTTGTTGGCAGATGGAAATATAGGCCAGCATTCAGCTCTACAGTCCTCCTACAAGAGTGGTAGGTGATTGCCACTGCTGGGAGGTAGATGCAATACCACCATTTACAAGCTATCTCTGGACCTGCAGAAAGAGAAGAGCCAACTCATTTGGCTCTTGGCTTCTCGTGGCTTCTCATTTGAGGCTTTCCCAAGAAGAAAAGGGGCCATGACAAGGGGGGGTTGTCCAAGGGTAGCAAGATCGCTCATGATTCACAAGGGCTTGATATGTGCAATCCCTGGGGTGACAAAGAGGTTCAGCTCCTGTGCTGAGTGCAGCAGTTCTGTGTGCCAGCACGGGCACAGAAAAGTCTTCCTTTCCTTGTGAGCAAGTTACTTCCCATGGGATGCATTAAGTTACACTGCACTGTAGGAAGAAAGTGACAGTCCCTTCAATTTTTTAACATAGTTCCTTTTATTTATTAATTATGTAATGCTTGCCTTCGTCTCTTTCAGATCCACTTTTGGGATGTCCTCCTGCAGCATTGCTGTGACGATGGGAGCTGGCAGGTATCTCTGAGACCAGGTTAGGTTTTGGAAACCTGGGATGTCCATTCACCATGGCACAGCACAGGGTAAAAGCTTGAGGATGTTGCCCCAGTTTGGGGACTTTCCTGAAGAGATATAACATTTAGAATCTCTCGGGCCATAAGCTACCGAGGCAGCATTCCTTTACTTGTCTCCAGAAGATGCTGTGGCAAAAAACATATAAAGGTTCCTACACTCCTGATGCTTTGTGTCACACAGTGCAAGAGAGGCTGCAGGGTCCATGGAGGTTGGTTGTCTGCTGGGAAACAGCTTCAATCTTATGAAACAATTCCCATGTGTCTCACTGGGGTACAGAGCCATCAGAGAGGATGGCATGTGCTGGGATGTTCTGGTGTAACACAGAGGAATACTTCTGGGCCCCATTTCCATAAGGGTAACAGCAGCTCTCTGCTCTGGCTGCTCACCAAGCACTACGAGCATGTTTGGATCAAGCACGGGCTCCAACAATGTCTGTTGGCCATATTATATGCTTTTGGATCCTCCAGTCCCACTAAGCACAGCAAATTCATAGCAAATTCATAGCCCTACTAAATCCTGCCACCAGGAATCACCTGGGGCCAATGAGAAGTCATGGCACAGCAACGAGTCTTTCTTCTTCCTCTCCAGGGACTATTAGGGTGATTTCAGCATCTCACAGTATGTCCATGTATAGAGGATAGTTTGTTTTTTTTTTCATAGAATCAAAGGATCATAGAATCATTTGAATTGAAACAGACTCTTAAAGGTCATCTAGTCCAACTCCCCTGCAATGAACAGAGACACCTGCAACTTGATCAGGTGCTCAGAGCCCCATCCAGCCTGACCTTGGCTGTCTCCAGGGATGAGGCATCCATCCCAGAATCACAGAACTGCAGGGACCTCTAGAGATCATTGAGTCCACCCCCTGCTAAAGCAAGTTCCTTACAACAGGTCACACAAGTAGGCATCCAGAGAGGTCTTGAATATCCACAGAGAGAAGACTCCACAGCCTCCTTGGGCAACCTGTTCCAGTGCTCAGTTATCCTTACCATAAAGAAGTTCTTCCACATGTTTGTATGGAACTCTCTATCTTCAAGTTTTAGGGCAGAGCTCCTTGTCCTATCATTACACGAGAAGAACCTGGCTTCATCCATTTGCCTCCCATCTCCCTTTATGAACATTAATTAGATCCCCCCTCAGTCTTCCCCAGGCTAACAGACCCAGGTTACTCAGCCTTTCCTCGTTATGGAGATACTCCAGGCTGTCATCATCTTTGAGACCCTCTGCTGGACTCCTTCTAGGAGATCTGTCTTTTTTGAACTGGGGAACCCAGAACTGGACAAGGTAGTCTAAATGTGGCCTCATGACGGCAGAATAGGGCAGGAGGATCATCTCCCTTGACCTGTTGGCCACGCTGTTTTTAATGCATCCCAGGATACCACTGGCCTACTTGGCCACAGGGGCTCACTACTGGCTCATGGCCAACCTGTTGGCCACAAGAACAACACCAGAACAACCTTCTCAGCAAAGCTCCTTCCCAGCAGGTCATCCCCCAACCTGTACTGATGCATGCAATTATTCCTCCCCAGGTGCAAGACTCCACACTTGCTCTTGCTAAACCTTGTCAGGTTCCTCCCTGCTCAGCTCTCCAGTCTGTCCAGGTCTTGCTGAATGGCAGCAGAGCCTTCTGCTGTGTCAGCCACTCCCCCCAGCTTTATACCATCAGCAAACTTGCTGAGAGTGAACTCTATCCCTTCATTCAGGTCACTGATGAACCCCTCTGGGCACCCTGTGCTAGTGCTTCACTGCCCTTATTGTAAAAAACTTTTTCATTATATCCAACCTAAATCTTCCCTTTTTCAGTTTGAAACTGTTTTCCCTTCTCCCACCACAACAGACCCTGGTAAAGAGTCTGTCCCCTTCTTTCTCATAGCCCTCCTTTTGCATACTGAAAGGCTTCTCTCAGCTCTCTCGGAGCCTTTCCTTCTCCATCTGCACAGCCCCACCTCTCTCAGCCCGTCCTCACAGGGAGGTGTTTCATCCCCAGGAGCATTTTTGGGCCATCCTCTGGATGTGCTTCAACAGCTCTGTGTCTCCTGTGCTGAGCACTGCCTATCCAGATGCAGCACTCCAGGTGAGGTCTCCCGACACACAGCAGAGGAGCAGATCCCCACCAGCACCCTGCTGGCCGTGCTGCTTTGGGTGTGCCCAGGGTACGGTTTGCTCTCTGGGCTACGAGGGCACAGTGCTGGCTCATGTCCAGCTGCCATCCAGCAGTACGCCAAGTCCATTTTGGCAGGGCTGTGCTCCATCCCGGCACCCCCCAGCTTGCACTGACAGCGGCGGTTGCCACGGCCCAGGTGCCAGGCTGTGTGCTCGGCTTTGTTGAACCTCACGACGTTCTCCTGGGCCACTGGGTCTCTCTGAACGGCATCCCGTCCCTCGGTGTGTCCCCTCACAGCTTGGCGTTACTGCAGACCGCTCAGGGAGCACTCGATCCCACTCGGTGTCACTGACAAAGATATTAAAGAGCATCAGTCCCAGCACTGATCCCTGGGGGCCACCACTCATCCCTGGTCTCCATTCAGACATGGAGTCATTGACCACCGCTCTCTGGGTACAATCTCACAACCATTGATCAGTCCACCCATCAAACCCATACCTTTCCAATCTGGAGACAAAGATGTTGTGAGGGACAGCACCAAAGGCCTTTCTGAAGTCTGGATAGTTGACATCAGTGGCTCTTCCCTTGTCTGCTGATGCAGTTATGGCATCTTGAAAGGTCATTGGTTGATCAGACAGGTCCTACCCTCAGTGAAGCCATGCTGTTTTTTGTTTTTTGTTTACGGCTGAGTATACTGGCTGCGGGAGTGCTTTAGGAGATTGCTAAAATGGAATCTCAGACCAGCCCTGGTGCGATGTGATAAAGTCCAGCGTAAGTGTGCAGCAGACACAAACAGCCTCACAGGCTGCACGGCAGGAAGATGCGGTGCTCTGACCCTGCCAGGTTAGAACGGAGCAGGTCAGAGGCCGCGATGCGTCAGAAAGAAAGAGCGTTTATGAAATGGGAGAGGATCTGCGGTTGCTCCGGCACAGCCCGGCTTCTGCTGAGCCCGGCCAGGAGCTGGCAGGGCAGGGGGCCAAGAAGGGACTTCTTGGGGCCCGGATCTGCTCTGCACCGTGGGAAAATGCACCCACACGAACACGGGAGCACGCGAGGGGACGCCGGCTTTATGCACGAGCCGCTTTTCTCCTTTTATTCTCCCTCATTAGGACGGCGCTCCCACCGGCCCGCTCGGCTCTCACCGGCAGCGGAGCGCCCGTTGCAGCACGGCCCTGCTGCGGAGCCCTGCGGGAGCGGCCGGGCCTACGGCCGGCGCGGGGCTCGGCGCGGGCGCTGCTGCCACCTGGCGGGGACGGGCGGCGCGGGCGGGCCGCCGCGGAGGCCTCGGGCCGGGCCGGGCCGCGCTCGCGGCGGCGCGGGCCCTGCGATCGGGACGCGGCCGTCCTCTGCGCCGGCGCCGCGGGCCGTGCCCGGACAGGAGGAGCCGCGGCCGGGGCGCCCCGTATCGCGCGGCCGCGCCGAGCGCTCGTCCGTCTTAAACCCCGCGGACGGAGGCGCTGCGGGGCCTCTCCCAGGGACGTGCCGCCTCTCGGGAAGGAGCGTTTGCTGGCTGTCCGCCCTGACTGCCGAGCTGCAGGATAGGGCCTTTGTCTCGTTATGCTCGAGGAGAGTTTCTCTCTCTTGTCCTCGTGTGTGCCCTCCGGCTGGTTTTTTAGACTGCCGTTAATTCAGCCCTCAGCCCCCCCTTTTCCAGACGAAATGAAATGACGTTCCTTCATCCTTCCTGCTAGCCCCTGTGTCCCTCAGCCGCCCCGCCTGATGTGTGATGCCTTGTGTGTGATGCCATTTTGTTACGGGACAGAGCAAGCGCTGACGGCAGCCAGTGGCTCAGGTAAGCCGGGATGAGCTCCGTACCGCACCTCTTCTGCAGAGAGCAGAGGTTCCCGCCGAAGCCTTTGTTTTGCAGAATTGGCCTGGCGGCCTTTCCAGGTGATGAATTTTGGATGAGGAAATAGAAATCGCTGTCCCTGGCTTTGCAGGGTTAATCTCTCGGCGCAGACACGTGTGCTGCTGCCTGTGTCCTCAGCGCCAGCCGGGAGGTGCACGGCAGAGATCTGACGAGGGAGCTGCGGACCGGGAAAGACCCGTGACGCTCACAGCGCGGATACGCTGCCGAGAGTCGTGGAGTGCCTGTGGAGGGCGGGTGCTGTGTGCGCATGTGCCTGCCCATGGATCACACCGGCGAGATGCGGCAGATGAGCTGCCTTGCTCTATTTGTAACCTCCCACCGCTCTTGAACAGGCTTGGCAAGGAGGGGAGGGAGATGAAAACTGAGCTGAAAATTGAAACGAGGCTCGGATGCTTGGAGGGGTTTAGGAGGCTGATTCAACCCATCACTCCCAAGGGAAGTGGGAGCACATGTGCCTCGTGAGCTGTGTTTTGCTGTCAAGCTCAGCACAGATCCGCCTTGGCACAAAATCATTTGCATTAACTCATTGGGAAAAGGAGATGTAAGAACACAGTTAAACCACAAAGTACAGGATTACAGTCTGATATGAAGAAAGAAAAGAAAGCTGGAGGAGAAGGAAAAAAACTCAGTCTTTATTTTTTAGTTTGTATTCTTTGAACTGGCTGCAGGAGTGCTTGGTGAGGACAGTGGCTGTGTCATACCCTGTGTTAGGCTCCAGCCTCTCTTGCTGAGTGTCACAGAAGGGAGATATTGTATTCAGGAGCTTGTTACTAATTGCCTATACCCCTCAGAGGGCTGGTCCCAGGGGGCACGTGTAGGTACATGATGGGACATCAGCATGAAAGAACCCTGGGCTCCACTGAAACCTGTCCTGCAGGGAGGAGATGGGACTGGGGAGCTAACGGAGCAACAGCAGTGGAGCCAGCAGTTCATAGGGACCAAGGGATGTGAGACCATTTAGGGTCATCCACTAAAAATCCTCAGTGACAAAGCAGACTAAAAGAGAGTCATGCAAGGGCAACAGATAATTAAGCCAGGGCAAATGTTTGCAGCAGCTGTCTCAGAACAGGGCCTTCATCCCACACCCATCTCCTTGACTTGGCATCAGCCAAATGCTGCACAGGCTGCTCCCTCTGTGCAGTCACAGCCCGTGTCCCTGCCTGGCTGTGGTTTTCTCGTTTTGATTCAGCACTCACTGCCATATTGTCCTCAGAGGCACAGGATCTTCCCAGGAAAATGCATGCTGATGGGGAGTCACAGTGGGAACACCCATGTCCCTCCTCCAGAGCCTCCTGCTTCTTACATGCAGCATGTGCACAGCCCAGCCCTCTCCTAATCCCAGCCCTTCATTGTCCCCAACCGTCCTTGCAAAGGGCAAGATGAGGACTGAGGCTCCACCACCCCTTCAGTCCTCCTGGCTTTATTCCAAAACTGCTAATTAAAAAGCCAGTGTCATCAGTGATTTTTCTGATGTGCAAACTTTTCCATAAGGAACTGGTCCCAAATCCACCAACTCATTTCACATTTATTTTAAATCTGAGCTTTACATCATGTAATTTCCTCCAGGGCTTGATTATCTTCTCAGTAAAAACACTGTTGTTCTGGTTTGTGAGACCTATATTTAATCTCGCCGTAAGGCCTCTGTACCTCCCAGTACAGGGCTTAGATGCTGCCACAGCTCCTGGCTTTGCCTTCCTATTTATATGAATCCATTAAACAAGGTGCTAATTCTGCAATATTGAGGGTGTTCTCCAGCCATGGGGTGCCTGTCAGCATTAACTTCTTGTTGCAGAAATGGTCTCCTGAACCTCTGAAGTCATCCAAAGGCACTCTCTTAAGCGGTAGCAGACAACTTGTAAACAGGGAATCGAAGGCACAGTCAGACAGGATCCTTCTCTGTCTCTCTTATTCTGGTGGTACCACAAGTTCTTCTCTGTATTTCCCCTACATGTAACAAGGTATATAGCATTCAGTGTATTTTTACATGGAAATACATGAAACAGGTAAAAGTGGGAGGGGGAATCATTTTCCTGAGCCTGCTCACAGCCCTCTGCTCTCAGCCAGAGGCTCTGAGCTGCCCAGGTCACCTCTCCAATATACTCTGCAGTGCAGGAAGCTCTTGTTTGAATGCAAATGCTTTCACCAGCATTTGCTCCTTCCAGTGGAGGCCTGTTTTCAACTCGCCAGCATCGCCTCATGACCATACTTTCACTTTAACCTGAGAATCATAGAATCATAGAATCACCAAGGTTGGAAAAGATTCACAGGATCACCCAGTCCAACCAACTATCACCAATAGTTCTCACTAAACCACATCCCTCAACACAACATCCAAATGTGCCTTGAACACCCCCAAGGCTGGTGACTCCCTGAGCAGCCCATTCCAGTGCCTGACCACTCTTTCAGAGAAGTAGTATTTCCTGACATCCAGCCTGAATCTCCCCCGGTGCAGCTTCAAGCCATTCCCTCTAGTCCTGTCAGTAGTTACCTGAGAGAAAAGGCCGACCCCCAGCTCACTACAACGGAGTGAGCTATCCCTCTCCTCTTACAGACCCAGACCTGCTGCCTGGGTGGCATCCAGCCCTTCACCCGCGCCCTCAACCTCAGCCCAGCTCCCTGCGTTTGCACGGCAGCTGCAGAGCTCCTAGGCTGCGGCGCTCAAAAGTGTCATTCTCTGACAAAGGTGAGAAGAACAGATGTATTTCTGACAAAAACCTTAACTCACTTTTAATGGTGATTTGGAGATTTTTCTTTTAATTATTCATCTTCATAATAATTCCTTATGTTTCTTTCAGATACCGGCTGACGTGGCCAGGAGATGCATGTAAGAACACACAAATGGACTTTAAGAAGTGTTATTTTCAATTATTCAGTTCAACTTTGATGATGGATTTTCGAAAAGATTCTGGAAATAAAGACAGGCAATGGCTCAATTTTCTTGTACCAATTAGGATTTCCAGGCCAAAGGAGCCATGACACAGCTTGGTTTGCCAAGGCCTTTGGAACTCAGAGGTGCGCAGACATACCCGATGCACTGGTCTAACTGCAACAGTTGTTTAACACAGAGGTGAGTGACTAAGGGGGAGAGAGAGTGAGTAAGGGGGGTCTGCAGAGAAAAGGAAAGTGAAAATAGTCAGGGCAGCCAGAGAGAGATCCAGTCCCGGGGAATCTCTGGGATGGAGCGGGCTCTTGCACTGATACTTGTGGCTGATGGCCTGGAGGCTGGGGGCTGCAGAAACAGCCAAAAAATGCACTCCAGTGTGGGGAGAAGTGCTGTGGCAGTGGCTTTTCTGTGGCAGGCTCCCCTCTGCCTTGAGGAGTGTGAAACTCTTCAAGGCTGGGCTGCTGCTAAATGCCTCAGGTACAGATGTATGCGTCTAACACACAAAGGCATTTGAAAGGCACTGTGAGCCAAGACCACATGGACAATGGTCAGAATGACTGGCGTGCAAAATTTGGGTACCAAGGCATGGACCAAATCATCCGATTGGGAAGTCTAGGATTAAAAAGAATGGCTAAACTTTATATTTTATTTCCATTCATCATTTCTGCTTGTGTGGGTGGACAAGGAGAGAATGAGTTTCCTGGGGAGGGCAGCAGATAAAAGAGGCACACATTTCCTTGAAAGATGTGTGTCTTTTTTCTTCTTTGCTCCTAGGTTAATATGCCATAAAAGGGCTGGAGGTAACCCTGATAGCTTTTCTATCATGAGCAAGAAATTGGCTAGTTCTTCACTTTCGTAGGGTCTTTCTCCCTTTGATTGCTAGCTATGTGCCGTGAGAGAAGTCTTTCCAGCATGGATTTCATCACTGCCCCAGGATGAATAGGCTGAATTCTTGCAAAGGAGTGCTTGAGGTGGGAAAAAAATGGACAACACCAATGGATTTGGTGTTCAGGCATGTTTCCAAGCCTCTGTAAAACACCTGACTGTTACAGGGGAGAAAGCTGTTCCCTTTAGGGGCTGGGGTGTGGGTGAGTGTCTCCAGAGCCTGCCGCCTTTGCACTGTCAGAGCTATAGGGTCCATACAGGAGACTTAGACAGACCTCTTGCTGGGGGAAGTGTGTGGAGATGGACGGACATGCTTGCAATGCACGCATACTTCTGAGGCTTGCCTGAAGCAGAGAAGAGCTGAGCACAGCCCTGTGCTGACCAACACCAGCTCACACAGAGAGGTGTGGGGTGGAAGAGCCTTCCATGGTCTGTTCCTCATTCTACCTAAAGCCCCCTGTCTTTGACAGGATTTACCCACACTGGATCTGCTGGAACAATTAACAATTAATTTCAATTAATGTGTAAGATGTTGAGGATTTGCAACCCGTCTGCCTATGCTGTTGGGGTCAACATCTGGCAAAAGAGCTGCAGGGTTCCCTGAGACAGGGAAGGATTTTGCCCTTGGGATGCTATGTTCTGTGGCGTCTGTCACTGAGCTGGGATCTTTGTGCCAGAAGCTCCTTTTGCAGAGGGAGACAGAGCCCAGGGCAGTGCTTTGCTCTGCAGACATCCCTGGGAAGTAGCAGGGTTTGGGATGTGGCAGGAGAGGTGGAACCTGGGCTGAGCTTGGATGTTCCCTCTGTTTTTTAGGGTAGCAAACACGATGGGGGTTTTGGAGCAGCAAGGTAGTGGACAGATGGGCTTTGATGAAATTAAAGCAGCTGGGAGGATGAAACAGTTATGTTCTGAAACAGTGGCTCTTCATGGGGGATCCCAGTTTGTGCCTGAATGCAGAATGAACTGATTTTTCTGGCTGACAAAGGAAAAATATGAAAGATGAAGGAAAAAAAAAACAACAAACAAACCAGAAGAGAAGGGGTCTGGATGAGTCAGAGACGCAAACTTTCAAGAGCAGTTGCACTGAGGTGGAGCAGAAAAGTCTGGGCGCTGGCTTATGACAGACACAGAACCTCTTTACTGAAAGTGGCAGTGGATTTTGCAGTAGAGAGAGGCAGCTGGCAAGTATTTTTATGTATGCCACAATTTTGATCATAAGCAGAGAGAAAATCTGAAAGAAATGTGCCAGTCTTAAGACTAAGCAGAGATGATGACAGCTAACAACCGTCATGATGAAGCTGGAGAAATCTGCCTCTGAGACAAAATGAGGAGCAGAAGAGGCCACCAAGATGTGATAGCTGGTGATGCAGACAGAGAAAAACAGGGATGGGAGTATTATTTAGGCTTCATCCTGTCAGGATCACAGGTGAGATTGGGTTGGTGCCTACACCTAAGTCCTTGCCTTATTCATTTCGTAAGTCAAAATGCCTGAGGATCTATAGAAGAGCATGATTTTCCAGAAGAAGCGAGGAAAGAATTTAATCCTAAATTGTTTCTCAAATGATAACAGAATGGCAAGCATCTCTGGAGACGGTGGCTGGTTGTCTTCACAACAACCAGGAAAAATACTGCTGAAAGGATGCATGTGCAGTGCCTTTTTATAAAGCCATGTGTCCCAGACACCAAAATGCCCCGGATGCAGAAAAACCTCACTTTTAAAAACTGCCCCATAGGCCTCATGGGTCTCGTGTGCTGAATTTCCTTCAGCTGTAGAACCACTGTGGTCCCACTGGGATTTCAGCCAGTGAAGAGGAAAGAGATGGGGCTCTTTCTGGACATTCAACCATCTCTTTCATGAGGTGCAGGGCAGAGTGGGGTCTGGATCAAACAATTGTGTCTGGTATTTCCTACTCCCACAGGCCGGGCTGTGCTGCTGTCTGGACAAAGCATTATGGTATGGGGCATTTCCACAGAGATGTGTGTCAAAAGCAGAGAGAAGCCAGGTGACCTCCTGAAGCATCCTAGCCTCCCTGCCATGAGAAGCACTTCTGCCCTTCTTTCCCTCCACCTGTGTTCTTCTCCAGGCATGCACAGCCACCCACTGGCCATGTCCCAGGGCGGTACCTCCCCAGCCCTGCAGCTTTGTGCTGTCCATGTGTCCAAAATGCACACAAGGAATGCTCCCTGAACCCTGCTGTGCCCTGTGCCTGAGTGCAGCATCCCCACTGTCTTTCCATTTTTTCCCTAATGATTTTGACTGCATTATGTTATATGGAGAGCAAACCCTCATCCTGCCATCTGCTCTCCCACTCTGCCTGCTGGCTCCAAGACCTGCCTCACCACTTTGGTAGTTTACCCGAGGTGGTGGGGCTGCTGGGGTGGGGGCTGTCCCTTTCCCTTGGTCACACTGCGGTGTGGGCATGGCTGTGTGCCCTTGCACAGGGCTGAACGCTGCCTCTGAGCCACCTCCAGTGCGGTGGCACCATGGCGGCTCTTGCTCAGCGCAGAATCCAGTGTGACAACAAATATGAAATCCTCTGCGGCTAATTAATTATCTCAGATCCCTTCCATATTACAGGAGGTGGGCAGCAAAGCTTTGGGAGTGCAGATACTTTAGGATCAGCTTTGAAAATAAACCCGAATAAGCCACTTTTTTGGAGATTAAACTGACTCCTCCTGGAAACCACTGCAGGGGAAGAGCACTTGTTTATTAAAAAGAGACAGCAGGGATCAGGGCATGAAAGGAGGCTTTGTCTCCTCGGCTCTTACCTTACTCCATTTGATGGTATTTTAATGCTTTTTTCTTCAGGTGTGCAAGGAACCTCAGACACAAATCTCCTACCTTCAAAAGCATCAGGCACGGAGGGTTCTGCACATTAGGGAAGCCCATACCACCTGCAGCAGCCCCCACATGAGTGCATCTTCGGTGACACCGGGCCGGGGGGCTGCAAATGCCCAGGGGCTCGGCAGGGGTTCGCTCCATGTCTGATCGGGCTGCGTCCCCGGGGACCCCCCGGCTCTGCAGGAGCACGGGAAGGCCACAGAAGAGGGATCCCCTCTGCTGCAGAGGGCATCCCCGGGGGACTCTCCGGCATCTCCCCCCCAAGGGCAGGGAATCGAGGTGGGGTCCTGCTGTCCGGCGCCCCCGAGATGCGGTGCTCACCGGCGAGCGGGGAGCGGCCGTGAGAGCATCCCGGAGGGGGCTGCAGACTGCGGGAGCAGCCGGGGCGGGGGAACTGCAGGGGCATCCCGGGGAGGGGAGGGGTAGGGGGAAGCCGTAAGAACACCCAGAGGGAGAAGGGGGCGAGGGCCGGCAGCGGCAGCACGCCGTGGGGGTGGGTTCCGGCTGCGGGAGCGTTGGGGAGGGGTGGCAGGGGCCTTCCGCGCTGAGGATCGCCGCTCGCGGGGCGGAGGGGGGATTCGGCCGCCGGAGCGGCCCGGTGGAAGCCGCATCCCGAGGGGCGGCGGGGCTCCGGGAGCATCCCGGGAGGAGGGGGGGTTACCTCTGCAGCATCCCGCGAGGGCTCCCCTCCTCCCTCGCTCGGAGCGGGGCCGGCCGCCTCGCCCTCGTCCTTCCCGGCCGGCGGCGGCGGGCGCACGGCGGGGTCGCGGCGGCGCGGCTGCGGCTCCGCTCCGCTCCGCGCCTGGGGGCGCCGCGCCGGGAGGAGGGTCCGCGCC